TATTTCATGCTTGTGATAACTGAGGAAAACAGATTTTATAAATACTTCGTAATTAAATAAGATTACCTTGAGAAATATCACCAGTCTCTCTTCCAAGTTCTGAGGGTGCATGTATGAAGCAGTTTCCAAACAGAAATGGAGTGCACTGCTGTTCTTGCTGAAGCAAATGCGTAATGGTAGCAGGGCTTGTAGAAATTAATATCAGACCTATAGCAAGTGCTGAAACAAAGAGAGAAATATCACAAAATCACTAAAATATAATCTCAGGATGTCAGAGTACTGACCCTCAAAGAGAGGGAAAATCCATGCTGGGCAAGTGGAGAAAAATGCGTGAGTAAATTGAAAAACAATTCACATTTTATAACTTAGTTATTTGACTTGGGGTAGCTATTCATGCTTCATGCACGACTCTTGTTTTTTGTGAACAGGCAATCACAAAAGTACTAACATAATCACCAAAGACCAGAATATTTTACATGAAGTTTTGAACAGCTTGGAATATCAGAGATATGGTGGGCTACAGCAAGGTTTGAAAAAACTAAAAAAATCTGCTCATATATCAAAAAATCATGGATCAGGTTGCATGTCTTCTGTCTGAAAGCAAGTGAACAAAACCTGTTTGCCAAAACCCATTGATGGACCGTTCTCTGCCTCATGTCCATTAAAGAATCTGACATTCAAGTCCAGTTCAAGTAATGTATGAGTGACTGGGAAAGTAATACAACAATAAATAAACAAATAAACAATATTTGCAGATTTGTGCAATTTCTACAGTACAAGATTTATTTAAAAAAAAAAAAAGAAGTGCAAAACTGAAAGGAAATTATTCTATATGGTGCTAGAAATGGCACAACAGAAAGACTTTTATGATGGGAAGGAGGTGAAAGAGATGAACAGAACATACCGTGTAGGGTTCAGGAAAGAGCTGGTGCAGGACAGCAAGCTGAGAAGGTAGCTTTTGGAAATACATACACCAGCTGCTCAATTTTTATTTGTATCTGGCAGTTGAACGACTACACTGAATGTGTAATACGTGATTTTAAGGGAAAGAACAGATACTACACCAGACTGTTTAAATGGGCTAGAGAATAAATGATCCAAAACTGAACAGCACACTTGGTTTCAGAAGATTGTGAATGGGGAGAAATCTGAGGGGTTGGGATAGAGAACTGGACTCTGAAATGCACAGCATGAATCTAAATATCCAAAGGTGAGGGCAAGCTAATAATCAGTTTGAATTAATTACAACTAATAACTGAATCACTGAATCGCAGAAAGGTTGAGATTGGACATGACCTCTGGAAGGCATCTGGTCCAACCTCTCTCCTCAAGCGGGACCACATAGAGCATGTTTCCCAGGAATAGACAATTAATATGTGGTGACCAACCTCTCCTTGCTCCAGGATTAGAACTGCAATAGTTTTGTGCTCCGGTGACTGTCTTGTCACCCAGGATGGAGAGGGTTGAAGTCATGGTATCAAGTTCTGATTTCTGCCCCAAAAGGAAACAGTTACAGGGTGTGAATGAGTGGGTCTCACACAGGGTGCATCCACATTGGCGTTTGGTTCAAATCAGGAGCACACTTTTGAGCACGGTCCCCTGCAGTTGGAGTTATGTCAACATTTGCTGAGTGAGTGAAGCGGATTCCTACTTGGTGAGAGTCAACCAAAGACACTCTCAGAGTGCTCCACCTGCCAAAGAGCTTCCAGTCCATAGGGGCAGACTGGAAATCATCCAAAGTAACCCTCCCACCTACTCCCAAAATGTGCACAGTGTGGGCACTGGGTACTTGGCAGCAAAGGTTTTGCTCTGCAGAACTGTTGCTGTGGGTCTGCACTACGTGATAATGCAGGGGTAACCACAGAATGCTGATGGTGGCCCTGAAATGGACTCTGAACCACAAAACACTAGAAACTTGACCTGGTATGTAACCAAGAGGCTGCAGCAGATGAGCTCTTTACCAGGTCTGGCTTCCCTGAATTACCCCTTCTATGATCTATGTTTTGTGATGAATTTAAGGATGACAGAGAACTTCTGGAGTACATGAGGTTTGCAGAAACTCCACAATACAATATCGGTAAAGTTTACATTTTCCTAAAAAAATAATAATAATAATAATAATAATAATAATAATAATAATAATAATAATACTAATAATAATAATAAAAAGTTCTGATAATAGCCTGTACAATGGAAAAGTATAAAGTCACTCAAAAAACTTTTAAAATAGGACACACATTTTGACTTTATACCTATAACTCAAATCTACTGCTTCTTGTAAGGTATCTGATCCTTAAGGTTCTGGTTCAAATAAGTAAAATGGGACATAGGATACAACTGGGCTAATTATCATAAATAGGATTTCAGCCTGTCAGTATCTGGGAACTGTGGAATTCAAGACTGCTAAAAGAATATTAAGTACTGAACATCTGTAATGAAAAGTATTTCAACAAGAGCATTAATATTTCTTAAAAGATTAAAAAAAAAAAAAGACAAATCCCAAAGCCATCTCCTTTGGATTGCTGCAATGAGACTGAGCAAAGAAAAATTCTAAGAATGTCAGTAAAATTGTTTTAGGTTGATGTGAAAATCATCACTTACCTATAGTAGTTAAAATGCCACTGCGTCCAATCTTAATTATTTTTAGTTTTGTCTCCCCCCTCATTTTTTTCAGTCTTAGCATTTTAGACTTTGTTGGGAAGAAAACTGAAACTGAAATAAGGATACAGTTCATGTGTTAAGCTAAACTTCATTTAGTTTCCTATGGGAAGGTTGTTAAAAGAATGCTCCTACAACAAGCATGCAATACAGCTCAAAACAAAGACAGAATGAAGCAGGTACTTTGTAATTAATGATATTCTTACATCGCCTATAGCAATTACCTGCTGTTGCATTACGACAGGTAGTTTAACTGTCTGTAAAGGAGAAGTAGGAGGAAAAAGGAATGAGAGGAAAAATTGATAAAAACAGACAGAAAAGCAAATAATATAGTCAGCACAAGCACTTGCCCTTGAGAAAAGCTAAGAGTGAAAACAAAATGTTTAATAGGAAACGGAGCTGGCATGAAGATGCCATCTTTGGGTCATCGGAAACAGGAGTTTGTCCACTTTAGACAATCAGGATTGTATCAGAAATGCATGATGCAGTCATTAGCCATTAGTTTTACAATAATTTTTAGGGGAGAGAAAGCCAAGAATGGATATTGTTTTTCTTACAAGTTGGGGTGAAGTAGATCTGAAAGAGGCCAAAATAAATATGGCCCAGAAATTAGACATGGGGAAAATCAGCTTTTAATCTTCAGCTGTAGCTGATCTTTCCCTGCCAGTTGTGTTTACTTTCCTTCCCTTGCAGTTTGTTCTTGAAGCTTGAGAGCTGTGAGGACTCCCTACGTCCCTCTCCTTCCTGCCCAGTCAGATATTTCTGTCCCCACCAGTAGCCTGAAGGGAGATAGAGAGCTGAGACAGGGCAGCTGGTGTAGTCAACAACGTGTCCCCAAAACACCCCTACTGCCCAGGATGCAAAACTTCATTTTTTTCACTGATAAACCAACTTTCAAATGACACCTTGAATCCTGCAGCAGTTTGGACCTTGTGGGGTTCACAAGAGAGTAAATAAAACAGAAAATCTGAATTATTCTGTTTCTTTTTCAGTCTCCATGTCTCTTCCTCGAACAGCTTTTTCAGTAGCTCCTGACATGACACTGTCTGATTCACTTCTGTGAAGATCCCATCAATATTTTCAGTTATTTTGTAAAAGCAAAAAAAAAAAAAAAAAAATTGGGAACATGGTTCATGGTTTTCTGTAGCTTTTTTTAAAACCTACGTCTATTCTGTGTGCACCACATTGCATTATTTAATGTACATCATATAAGTGTCTTTTTACATTATTTCAGTATAAAGGAAAGCAGAGATCAAAGAATTTTGACTTTGTTATTCAAACATAGTTTCTTTCTTTGCTAGAATATTACAGAAAAGATACAAAGGTGGGAGGGATGGAACATGCTTTTTGGTATAAAGACACCTTTCTGGCTTTACCTTTACAGGGATATAAGCAGTGTTAAACCTATAACTACTAGGCCTAGTGAACTCATTCTGTGAACTCATTTTACTTCTCTTGCACAGAATTCATACCTTAATGATGGAAGATTTTCACTGCCTAGTTTTAAATGATCATACTGTTATTCAGTAGGTAGCCCACAAGATCTTTGGGTCAATATGACCAGGAATGGGATTTGCACCCATTTCTATATAATGTTATATTTAACTTACAGATCTTTTGTTAAATTCAGATTGACTGTTTACTTCAGCGCAGTCTCTCTTTCCTCCAGCTGTGTTGTATCAGGGCCGAATTCTAGGAAGTGAAGAGCACAAGGCCAAGTCTCAACGAAATGACCAGTATTTGTGCTTGTCAAGTACATCTAAATCTCTGTACTACTCCATCATCTCCTGGATGTCAAGAGAAATTTTTAAAGCTTAACCCCTTGCTCAAAATTAAACTTGTGATGTGGACTCCCCTCAACTTTGTAAAAGTTAACTTCCAGAATCAGAGTAGAAAAATGTATAGAAACATATATTTATACGGATTGAACCAAAACTTGTTAACCCCCATCTGGATCTGCAGCTTTCAGTTTAGGACTTGTGAAGATAACAAGCATTTGAAAAGAACAGAAAATCAGAACATAGCAGCCACCTTAAATTAGCAAGTCACTACAGTGTTTTGTGTGCCCAATGTGAGTGTTATTTTTCCCCCCCAAGTAGTTAAAACATATTTAACCTAGAACTAGGATTTCCTGTGGAAAACTTAGCTAAACAGAAGTACCTGATAAAGATTGTCATCCTCAATGCTGAATTTTCCTATATTGCAAGTTCAGTCCACACCACAAACTCAGCTTTCACATTATATTTGGGACCTATTTTAGGAGATGATTCATCAATTAGTAAACTAATTAGGTATATATTGCTAAAGCTTGGCCAATGCCAATGCCACTTTGCTAGCATTCATTTATTTGAATGACAAGGTCAGGAGTCCTGGGTTTTTAATTAAACAAATTCAAGAATAATCTAGTAATGCGTAGAACCATTTAAATTTTTGAAGTAGCTTACAGTTTTACTTCTCTTGGACAGTCTTGGAAAAAGTATAATTGATACTGGCAGATCATAAAATAAAAATAAATATATGTAAGTTAAAAAATAAACCAGTTTTCTAACTCCTGTATTCCATAAAAATAGGAATGTAGCCTCTTATGAGGAACTGCCAAAAGAGCCATGAAAGTGCTATACCTTTTCTGTGGACACAAAATTGGTAAGTGTAAAATATTGATATGCTCTGGGAGGACAGAGTCACCGAGGTAATAACCTATGGCAAATTAGAATGAAAATACTAGTAATGGAAATTTTTGTTTTTTAAAAAAGGAAATGTGACAGTCATTGACAAAATTATTACATCCAACTAATTTACATTTGCATGTGCCTTGGTTTATCTCACATGTCTTTTACCACAGATAATAATTCTACAATAGCTAAAAGTAAGTGATGTGACTTTCAGTTATATTATACAGTGTATAAAAAATGTCCTTGTTAATGCCTGTCATACAATCATCACATCTGTTAGTTTTTTAGTAGTGTTTTGAAGACTCTCAGTCACTTCCAGCCCCCACACAAACTCCCACCACCCCCATCAGCGTCCTCTCCTTCTTCGCTGGTTCTTGCTTGGGGACTTCAGGAGACTCTCTCGATATTTCACATTTGTGTGGAACAGTCGGACCATTTCATGGTCTTTGTTATCCAACACTCTAGGCAGAAAGAGAGACGATTTCTGTGTCCTGCGAGTTTTAAAGCCCCTTCTGGGTCGTCCTTTCCCATTGATTGAGACATACCAGAGTCTCTCTGCACTGGCTTTGCGCTTGGTGCCGGCTCTGCTGGGTACAGTCCGGTAGAGACGGGACGCGTAGGTGTTATAACCCAATTCATGGATCCTCTCCACGAACTCACACTCTGCGTTATAATTTTCCTGTAAAACAAACACAACAAAGTTTAAACAAGATTATATGGATAATAGCTCTCTTCTGTCTCAGTAAGATTGGACTAAAGCCTTAAGCAAGACTCTACTCAGTTTTAGGATAAGGGTAGCAACGTGTGTGGTAAGAAAAACCCAGACTGGTGCTACAAAAGGCAAGCAGAAGAGAAGCGCCCAGCCTGAACTGCTGTACAAGGTGTTCCCTGTCAGTGGTGTGAGCATACTCTGTGGATCAGTGACAGAAAATTTCACAGCAAAAAATGGCATGTGAATAGGAATTAATATCTCTGCTGATTTTTCAGCTGTAACTTTAATTTTTTTGTGCTTACAGATCTAAATATGCCTGTGAACTGGATGGCTGATTTAATTGTTGCCTATCAACATTTGACATCTATTAAAAAGGTAAAATCCTACAGTTTAATGTAAAATGTAGTTCTTTAATTGGTATATTAGTTGTTAGATACACTTGCAATCTATTACATTGTTTGTTATGTATATTTCAGCAGTAAACATCTTTATGAACCTTTTTTGTTTGCTTCAGCATAACAAAATGAAAGGACACCTTGTCTACCAGTGTGTTCCTCAGAAATGCTGCTAGGCTGCTCCTTTATCACAAACTGTAAGGGAGAATACACACTTATCCTGGCTGCTCACATATTACCTGATCAGTCAAAATTTGCCCATTTTCATCTGGTCCTCAGAGAGAAAACTGTGCAAAAGCCTGGCACAAGGAACTCCTTCCCTCTCCCTGGGAGCAGTAGAAACAGTGCAAATAAAGGACCTCCCATACTGTACATCCTTTCTTAGCTACAAAATCATCTTTGATGTACCTGTGTAACTAAGACTTCGGTATCTAACGTGTAAAGCACAGAGGCAGAGGGGAACTGCAACCATGGTCTTTACAGAGGTTTTTTTATTTTGCATCACCTCTCTGGAGGACATGGAAATGGCACAAGTAGTCAGACTGGGGCCAGAAAAGCCATAGGCTTCATTAACAACATGTCTTTAATGCTGTTCACTCCCCAGAAATGCTGATAGGCATTTAACAAGATTTTAAAAGACTCCACATGTCTCAGCTTCACAGCTGTAAAACGGAAGTGCCCTTCCTTGCAAGGACAAGGTTTTCATATGCTGTGGTGCTGGAGCCCACGCAACTACCATATGTAGGTAGATTTGTTCTGCTGTCTGCCTCTGTTCTGTTTGTAGAGGGTCTATGACAGAGGATAAACTTAGAGGATTATCACAATCTGCTGAGGACATAAAGGAATTCTGCAGACTCAACAACCTCATTTTATTGACATGGGAAAATTGGTGAACCAAGGGATAACAGAGTTACTCTAATACAATTTCATAAAATTATCCCTGTACACTTATCCTCAAAGAAGTCAGTCTTATTTGAAATAGGGGCCTTGCAAAGTTTTCTGAAACAGCACTATCAGTAAAATTGTTGGTCAGGTTTTTTTCTAGGCAAGCAAAGCCAGGAAGTTTCTCTTGAGTTGAGCCCTCACCCTTTGTTTCCTCTGTGAAAAAAAGCTGGTGTGGAATAGCTTGTCCTGGATCGTCCCTCTAGCTCTGAAACTGTCTTGCTCAGCAAAAATTATATTTTCTAGTTGTACAGAAACCTTTGACGACATATTCCTTGGGACGTGGCAGCTGAACAAACTTCAGGATGGCCTGGTGCTCCTCACACTGGAAAGGGAAGTCCAGGAGAAAAGGACTCTCTGGGCTATCCTACTCTAGGCTTTTCTCCTCTCCAGAAGAAGAGCTTTTTGCTCAGAATTTGTTTAGTTTTGTTTTAATTCAGTTTAATTAATCTGGAGGAAAAACATACCTATTTTGAACAAGAAAGAGAGAAAAATGAGAAAGAACTTGAAAATTCATCCTTCCCATTAATTTCTTTGGGGCAGACACTGGCTCTGGGCTGATGGAAGAGCTCCATTGAAAAAGATGTCCATTTTAATCAGGATGTTAACTGGAAGCATAGAAGTGGCCAGCCTTAGCCCTGGCACAGCAGAGGTATCACAGAATTATCTAGGTTGGAAAAGACCTTGAAGATCATCTAGTCTGGTAATATGTCCTCATTCCACTTCAGCTGCATTTTCCTTTGACAGAACTGTTTGTGGTCTGCTTCTCTGCACCAGCAAAGAGCCATCATCTTTAGACATCGTCCCTTTAATCAGTGCATCATACGAGACACAATACAGAAGCTGGGTCGTAAACACTATCAGAACACTCTTGAAAAGGTGGAGTAAAATACATTAAAGCAGGGAGACAACTGAGTTGATTGTGTTACCTAGGATGCATTCACATGGAAAAATCTCACATTGCTTGAGGATATATCATGCTGTTCAAATCAACTGAATTACATATAATGACTAGTTGGAGAAAGCAAATTTCACATAGCCATACTTTACCCTCTTCAAATCTGTTTCCATACCACGGGATTCCTGGAAAAACTGCACAGTATGGCTGTTACACAGTAAGAGATCACAAGATTGCTAGGGATGTAATCAAAGACAATGGAAGAAATTCAAGTAGGTAGGTAATGTGTATAGCATACACACTGACAAATACGCCTTAGTATGTCCCTGAATGAGAAGAAGTCTAAGCTAAACTATTTTATTCTCTGAGGGGAAATATTGGCTGAGGTGAAAAGGCAAGACTTCCACTAATATCAGTAGAGTCCAGATTTTACCTCAAAAAATGAGGTCAAAGAGTAGCATAAGGTATTTATTTTCACCTTTATCTTCTTGCACCTTCTCATACTTATTTTCCTTGCTATAGCTCTGCCTCTAGTACCTGTAAATTTTTTCACTGCCCAACGAAACTCTCTGTGCAAAAAACCTCCCATCAATAGGTTACTTTCCTGTAATAGACATGCTCAATTGCTTCTGGATATTCTTTGTCTGATGTTTATCATCTGCCAGTGTCCAAGATCCACATCAAATACAAATATGGATAATTTTGAGCAGAGATGGCCATTCTGCACTGCAAAGGCTAGCTCCTGAGGTCTTTATCAGTGCACCTAATTGCCCAGAACTTTGGCTGTGTGAAAGACCTTTGCCAAATACATTCTTCTGCCTTTGGCTCTACAAGCAGTAAGAAAGTAAGAACGCAGCTTCTTTCCACTTTAAAAAATATACTAGTGGGTTCCCTGCAGCTATTCCAGACAGAAATCTGTATAACATTACTCTCTTCTCTCTAAATGTTTATTTATAAGAAATCAGTGCTCCCCACCAGACTAGGTCTCCCCTCAGGAAATGACAGGCATATGCCCATTTTAAGTAACTTACTGATGCATAAAGTCTGCCCCTCTTGTTCATGGCCAGGTATCTGCCAGAGAACAAGCCCTTGATGGCAACGATTCCAACATCAACAGCAGTTATTTCAAGAATACCTAGAAACAGAAACAATTATGAGATATGTTGTTGCTCCCCATCACGTGTCATTTTTTTTGAGATACATTTGGATGACTGCTTACCTGCAGAGTATGATTTCACAGCTATAACTAGCTCACACCAAAATCATAAAGCAATCATGTGAATGAAACAAGACTATTATTTGAAACAATATAAAACAACAATGATGTGGGAATTGAGACAAGCTTGACAGTAAATCCCTAGATGTCTGATTGAGATTGAACTCTCAAAAATGAAAAAGATCTGACATTGAACTAGAGGTTCACTTAATCCTATATGTATATAAAAAAGTTTAAATCCTCTTTAATGCTTAGGAACATGAGAGCTCTTGACTTATTGAAACCAGTCACAAAGCTGTCCATTTCAGGACAAAGCCCTTGCTGAGGTCTCCAGAGGGTAAAACAGAGTGAGTTGGCTGCATTTTAGAGCCATGTATATAATCATGAAAGGAACTTGTCATTTGGGAGGTCAATGTAGCCCTCCAGACAAGGACAATGTGACTGTCTGAGCCAAATTAAAAGGGAGGAGGTTTTCAGACCATCAAAGATGGGTTCTCAAACACAAGAAGAGTGTCACAGGTGAGGCTGGACAACACCTGAGAAAATGTTTATATCCAGCGAAGGGTGCCACGATTCTGACGGAGGCACAAATGGCTGTGGGGAGACACAGGGCTCCCTAGCTGGCTCGTTCAAATTCTGCTCTCAGTTGTCCAGTCGTGGCCCGATGGCTCAGTACTTTCTCTGAGTGTTTGGAGCTGAGAGGTGACCCCTGCACCCAAACCCTTTGCTGCCTTTTGGCAACGGTAAAGCAGAGCCAGGGGCCTGTCCCCTCTGCAGAGCTGGATTGCTGGCCTGGCCGTGTCTGGGAGAGTTGGGGTGGTTTTGGTACAGCTGTTTTGAATCAGGCACCGGTTTGCTGCTGGAGGATGCCTCCTCCAGGCTTTGATAGCGAGGGGGTTTTCCTCTAGGAAATAGTGGTTTTCTTTTATGGACTTCAGACAGATCCCCGAGGTCTCCCTATCTCTGTGTGCCATCACCCGCCGGGATTTACGTTTCCTGGGGTGGCGGTGCCCGGCGGAGGGTCCGCGGCTGCACCGCGCCTCTCCGCGGGGCGGGCGGCGGGCGCA